CATGGTCTTCGCAGTGTTCCCCGCCAAAACAGCAGGAGGACCAAGTCACTATTCGTTCCCCTCCTCATGCCCAAGGCAGTAGGACCTCACCAGCCCAGCACGTCCTCCACCATCCACCACCACCACCATCTGCCACCACCACCACCACCACCAGCGAGCGACCCCTCCCGACCTGGGAACAAACCCCCCCGTCGTGTGTCCTGCTCCAAAACCCACTGACGACATCTTTTAACCAACTCATCCCGCCTGCGGAAAACAACACCACTCCTCAGGGCCGGTCGCACCCAACCGAATCTCTGTCGTGATAGTCCGCAAACACCGACCTCCGACAGACCGATCTCGACGTCCAGGTCGTGCCAAACCCGCCAGGCCTGCCCGAGCCTTAACTGAGGTGCCCCCCTCTCCCCTCCCCGACGCCGAACCCCCGGTATCCATAACAGAACATCTGCACCTCCACCTCCAGAGCCAGACCTGGCCTTATCCCCTCAGCCTTAGACAGCTGCTTCGTCTCGTGCTGCCGTCGCCGCGTCGTACCTATTGCTACCATACCTAAGCTGCCGCACATTCTTCGCCCCGGGCGAATGACTACAGTTCTAGCATCGGCAGCACCACCATCATCATCACTTCTCCCGACGGTCGCCACCTCGCGCCGCCGCATCTTCACCCCAACAATCCATACCCAACACACACACCACACCAACACCACCACAGCACACCACATATTTCTTCCCCCGCGCGTGGAGTCGCGCACCCCCACCGCCCAACATGAACGAAGAAGACGCCATCCAGAACATCCTCAAGAAGATTGAGCGCGAAAAGGCGCTGCTTAATGCCGCCAATGCTATGCGTGCGCAGACAAACAACGAGGCCGTCCGATCTCGACTCGACTCGCAGATGCGCGATGGCCGACGAAACCTGCAGTTCTTCGAAGAGAAGCTCCGCGAGGCTCAGATGCGTCGCGGTATGGACGGCATGTCCCTCGGATCTCCCTCCGACAGACCTCTCAGCGGCGATGTCGAGGACGCGCCCCCTCCACCGCCAAAGGACGCCTCTGGGCAGTGGACAGACCGTAGCGGCTACGGCCAAGGCAACGCAGTTTCTGGCGGCAACGTCCAGTTCAGCCAAATCGGCGGCCACTCCGACTTGATGCCTCCCCGCCATCCTTACGCCCCTCCCGGCCCGTCGTCTTCTATCCCGAAGCCGCGTCCTAACTTTACAAAGCTCGGTTCGTCTGCGCCGACACTGTCCCAAACTTCGCCGCTGACTCTCTCTAGACCTCATCAAATATGATACCCCCTACCTCGGCCCCCGTATTCAGCTCATGCTGTCCCAGATCCAGTTCAAGCTTAATGTGGAGGAGCAGTACCTCAAGGGCGTTGAAAAGATGGTTCAGCTGTACGGCATGGAGGGCGACCGCAAAAGCAGAGCGGATGCGGCCGCTCGCAGGGTCGAGAGCAAGCAAAAGATTCTCTTGCTTAAGCAGGCCATGAAACGTTACGAGGAACTTCACATTGACATGGACACTGCTGATAGTCCCGACGGTATGTTGAAGCGGGCAAATGGTGCTGCCTACTGTATAGGTGACTAACACCGCTTCACAGATGACTCCATCAATATGCCTAACCTTCGAAAGCCCCTCAGTGGCCAGCTCACCATCCGCGTCGGACAGATCAAAGACGTCGACCACGCTAGTATGAGCCGCTTCTCTCGCGGTCCGGAGACTTTTATTGCCGTCAAGGTTGAGGACAACGTCGTTGCGCGCACGAGGGTCACCAGAACAGACAAGTGGGAGGCCGAGTACCACACGATTGACGTAGACAAGGCCAACGAGATCGAACTTACCGTCTACGACAAGCCCGCCGAGCATGCTATTCCCATCGGCATGCTTTGGGTACGAATTTCCGATATCGTAGAGGAAATGAGAAGGAAGAAGATCGAGGCCGAGATTACCAACTCTGGATGGGTTTCTGCCGATAGAATGGGAGCGCCGCCGCCGCAGTTCCCCATGAACCCTGGTCAGTCGCAGCAGTCGTTTGGAGCCGGTGCACCTCCACCATCGCCGGGTGCCCCGCAAGGAGGAGCCGCCCCTGGCCCGATGCCCATGCAGGCGATCCCCCAACAGCCCATCGACGGCTGGTTCAACCTCGAGCCGGCCGGCCAGATTCAACTTTCCCTGGGCTTCCTCAAGCAAAACAAGGACCGCCGCCCCCTCGACCTGCAGGGATTGGGCAGAAAGGGTGCCGTTCGTCAGCGCAAGGAGGAGGTGCACGAGATGTACGGTCACAAGTTCGTCCAGCACCAGTTCTACAACATCATGCGCTGCGCCCTTTGCGGAGACTTCCTCAAGTACTCGGCTGGCATGCAGTGCGAGGACTGCAAGTACACTTGCCACACCAAGTGCTACAGCAGCGTCGTTACCAAGTGCATTAGTAAGAGCAATGCTGAGACGGATCCGGACGAGGAGAAGATCAACCACCGCATCCCACACAGGTTCCAGGCCTTCTCCAACATGACGGCCAACTGGTGCTGCCACTGTGGTTACATTCTGCCCTTTGGAAAGAAGAATTGCCGAAAATGCGCGGAATGTGGCCTTACTGCCCACTCTGCTTGTGTCCACCTTGTCCCTGACTTCTGCGGCATGTCGATGGCGGTGGCTAACCAGATTCTGGAGGGTATCAAGTCGACCCGCATGATCAACAAGAACAAGACTTCGTCTTCTCTCAGCGACCGCACGCTTAGGAAGCAGCCCACAAGCCCGACAAGCACTCTGAGCTCCCCGCCCCATAGTGCCACCCAGCCACCATACGCTCAAGGCTCCCCTGAGGCTACGGAGGCTGCCAAGATCATGTACCAACAGCAGTCTCCTCCTGGCCAAAGACCCCACCCCGACCGCACGTCCTCTAGCTCTGCCGCGGCGGCAGCGGCGACGGCTGCAATGAGCGGATCAATGGGCCAGCAGAAGCCTCAGTCTCAAGATTATGGACGCTATGGACCAAGTGGTGGGTATGGATCACCCCACGATCAAGGGCCGGAAGATCCCTACGGCCAACAGCGCAAGTACAACCCGGCGGACTACGCCAATGTCAACACCTACTCCCAGCAGCCTCCTGTGCAGCAACAACCTCAACGCCCTGTTCAGCAGCAGCAGCAGCAACCGCCTCCTCAGCAGTACTCCCAACCGCCTCCTCAACAGCCGCAGCAGCAGCAGCAGATGTACCAGCAGCCGCCTCAGCAGCCCCCTGTCTCTTCGCCTAAGTTGCAAGAGGCACCGCAGCTGTCGCCTATTACGCCTGGCGGAGTGCCGAGCGCCGGACGCAAGCCGTTGCCCTCCGCCACCGACCCGGGCACTGGCCAGCGCATTGGCCTTGACCACTTCAACTTCCTTGCTGTGCTGGGTAAGGGTAACTTCGGAAAGGTCATGCTTGCGGAGACGAAGCGATCCAAGAGGTTGTATGCCATTAAGGTGCTGAAGAAGGAGTTCATTATTGAGAACGATGAAGTGGAAAGCATAAGGAGTGAGAAGCGAGTCTTCCTGATTGCTAACCGCGAGAGACATCCGTTCTTGACCAACCTCCACGCTTGTTTCCAGACCGAGACTCGTGTCTACTTCGTCATGGAGTACATTAGTGGTGGTGATCTCATGCTTCACATTCAGCGCGGCCAATTTGGCACCAAGCGAGCTCAGTATGTCAATCGCGTCTCTTCACATTAGATTTTGCTAACGATGCACAGGTTCTACGCCGCGGAAGTCTGCTTGGCACTCAAGTACTTCCACGAGAACGGTGTCATTTACCGTGACTTGAAGCTCGACAACATCCTGTTGACGTTGGACGGACACATCAAGATTGCCGATTACGGTCTTTGCAAGGAGGACATGTGGTTTGGTTCCACTACTAGCACGTTCTGTGGTACCCCTGAATTCATGGCTCCCGAGGTTTGTTTTTGCTTCTCTTGATTACAACATCTTCCTTGCTGACCCCGTCTAGATTCTGCTTGACAAGAAGTACGGCCGCGCTGTGGATTGGTGGGCATTTGGTGTCCTGATCTACCAGATGCTTCTTCAGCAGTCACCATTCCGTGGTGAGGATGAGGACGAGATTTATGATGCCATTCTGGCTGATGAGCCTCTGTACCCCATTCACATGCCTAGGGACTCCGTCTCCATCCTGCAGAAGCTCCTCACTCGTGAGCCTGATCAGCGCCTGGGCAGCGGCCCTACGGACGCTCAGGAGATCATGAACCAGCCGTTCTTTAGGAACATCAACTGGGATGACATCTACCACAAGCGTGTTGCGCCGCCTTTCATGCCTCAGATCAAGAGCGCCACAGATACCAGTAACTTCGATTCTGAGTTTACGAGTGTCACGCCCGTCTTGACTCCTGTCCAATCAGGTAAGTTTTCTATTCTTCTGCGCGGAGTGGTGCGACTAACAAAATGCAGTCCTCTCGCAAGCCATGCAAGAAGAATTCCGTGGCTTCTCTTACACCGCCGATTTTGACTGAAGAACCAAGAATGACGAAAAGCTGGAGCTGATGAGGTGACGGGATCACGATGCCGACGTGAACATAGGGGAAATACCAGCAGACATGGCCGAGCGTTCTAGGATACCCAGCGCCGTGTGCGCGCCAGGACCCGGCGACATCAGTCTATGTTTGCATAGAGACGCTGCGCGTCGCCAGGCAGTGACGACGAGGGCGCAGATGAGAAAACGAAGCGACGTGACGTGACGGGTGGACACAACATACGGAGAACAAAAGCAAAAGGTGTTCGTTCGCTACGTGAACATTGAAAGCGATTTGTCGGATTACGGTTAGAGTCTATATCTGTAAGGTATTGGACCCCAGCGCAGCTTGTTTAATAGACCCAGCCTTCAGTGGTTACACCTAAATGAAGAGCACCGTGATTAGGTTTTGTGTATGTGGGGGTGTCGTGAGGTTGTCCTCGTGCTCTATATGGTATCATATTGTACAGTGTTATATACAACCCTAGGGAGGCGCGTCTATGTTCTACGCAGGAGGAGGAGCGCCAGACCGCCGGCGACTGTGGCACCGGCGGCAGCACCCTCGAGAGCGAGAATGGAAGCATCACGCATGCGCAAGTCGATACGGCGCTCCGAGTACAGATCCTCCAGCCGCGTCCTCCAAAACGCAGCGTCGGAAAGCGTCCTCCACAGCGCGGGGTCGGACAAGTACTCTTTCCACGTCCTGGAGTCCGTCGTCTCCTTTTCCAGGCCCTTAAGAGCGCTAGCCACCTCTCTATCGAGTTCGTCCTGCACCGCGGGCTCCTCGACCTTGGCGGCGAGGACTTCCTCGGGAGCAAAAGCGGGCTCGTCGACAGGCGCAGCGGCAGGCTCGTCCCGCTGTTGCGCCAAGGACGCTCTCAAACTCGCCAGCTCGGCCGTCACGCCCTCCAACACGGTCTTCTCCTGCTCGACGACGCCGCGGACGAGGCGTTTCCTCTTCCACGGCTCGGCGACGAACTGCAGCACGAGGAAGAGGAGGACGTTGACGCCCATGAGGCCCCAGGTGCCCCAGGTGGAGGCGCGGCGGATGCGGTCGGACCAGATCTGCTCCTCGTGGTAGCGCTTGAGGATACCCGCGTTGAGCTGCTGGCCGAGGGCCTGCTCGGCGTGTTCGGCGTCGGTGAGGGCCTCGGAGGCGGCGACGACCTCCTGCTCGAGCTCGTGGTCGGTGCGGTAGAGCTGGGTGAAGCGTTCGAGGTCGGAGGGCGACCAGGTCTCCTTGCGGGCGAGGAGGGTGGTGACCTCGCGCTGGGTGGTGGCGCGCTTGGCGTTTGTGGTCTTGTAGGTGTGGCGGGCGGTGCGGACTTGGTCCTGGGCGGCGGCGAGGCGGGCCTCGAGGAGGGTGTTTTGGTGCTTGATGGCCTCGATGGGGGCGTAGCCGGTGAGGGCGTTGAGGGTGGTGGAGGCGGTTAGGAGGCGGGTTTGGGCGGTGTCCATGAGGCGGGAGAGCTTCTCGAGGAGGGCGGGCGGGAGGGCGGTGTAGATTTTGGAGGCCACGTCGGGGAGGGGGTTGTGGGCTGCATTTTTGTCGTTGGAGGAGGAGGTTGAGGTTGAAGATGTCTTGGGGGTTGTTGCGTCGTCGGGAGGTGAAGCCGATGTGGAAGCTGTGGTGGAGCTAGAGCTCGGGTCTGCGCTCGGGGACGACGGGGAGCTTGGGTCGCTCGTTGGGGAAGCTTGCTTTATTTCTTCCTTGGTCGCGGAGGAGCTCGGCGGGGGAGGAGGAGGAGGGAATGGCGGGATGGAGGAGTAGAGGCGTCGTGCCGGGAGGGCTGCGGCGGGCCATCTTGCGAGGGCTGCGGTGGTGTGCAGGCCGATGCGGGCGTGGAGGAGCCGCGACGCCGGCCGGGCGATGGGGTGCATCTTTGCTCTCTCTCTCTCTCCCGGTCGTTATCGACTTGCAACCTTGTCGGAGGGACCCAATTGGCGGTGGTTTCGACGCCGGGTGGTGATTGTGGGAAGGGCCGAGCACGGGGGAGGGTCGGGACACCGGGCGACGGGACGACAGAGACAAAGTTTGGACGGTAGTGGTGGTGGTCGAGGTGGACGAGGTGGTGGTGGTGGTGCGGCGGCGGCGGGTTTCTGCCGGAGGACAGCTCAATTGGTGGGCCAGAGGGAAAGGTGTCTCACCGCCTGTCGGATTTGGGGGAGGAGGTTGCTCGGGCCGGTGCCGGGGCTAGCGGTTGGGGCCTGGACAGAAGGGCGAAGAATGCCCGAGACGGAGGGGCAGCGGCGGTACGTACACTGCGTAGAGAAGAAATTTACGGCACGTGTGGTGGGGGTCTGCTGCCACTGGGGGGTTGTCTTACGGCGGCTTTCAGGGGATAAGATCTTGGTGAGACCGCACTCCAGGGTCCTCCTCGTGGACTCGATACGGGGACGGAGGGGGGCCGATGTCGTCACTGGCGGGATGCTCTTTGGCTTTTTCCTCGTCCGCCTTGACGGCGCCGGAAGCTGAGTCTTTTTTTTTTTTGGACCTGACCTGGTTGGATGGATTGGCTCAACAGTATCTGGACAGGATTAACATGGTCTGCACGGGTAGCAAACACACATGGAATAGGATGCATGGATTTGTTGGCGGCAAAGGCTGCAGATAGAACAGAAAATTGATACCTAACAATTCCTTTTCCCATCCCAAGTTCGAAAACTGCATGTCCGGGCGGCTCCTTGGTATTACCTCGTCCCGTATATAAAGCCATTCATACATCTTTTGTCTCTAGGACAACTTCTCTGACCCACTCTCTTGCTACTTTCAACCTCGACTACCTACCTTAGGCTGTCCATCCTGCGTGCCCCTCCCCCTCCTTTGATCTCACCTAGATCTCAAATCCCAATCTCACATCTCACTCATCTACACTCTTTCTCACAACTTTCATACCTAACTCCACCGAAACCCCCATACCACCGACAAGATGGGCTCCCAAGTCACCGACACGCCGGCCCTGGCCACGAACCCCAAGTTCATCTTCTTCACCGACTTCGACGGCACAATCACCCTCGAGGACTCCAACGACTACATGACGGACAACGTCGGCTTCGGCTACGAGAAGCGCCGCGACGGCAACCTCGCCGTGCTCGAGGGCCACAAGCACTTCCGCGACGCCTTCCGCGAGATGATGGAGAGCATCCCCCTGCCCTTCGACCAGTGCATCGACCTGCTCAAGAAGAACGTCAAGCTCGACCCCGTCTTCAAGGAGTTCTACTTCTGGGCAAAGGAGCAGAACATCCCCGTCGTCATCATCTCCGGCGGCATGCGCCCCATCATCCGCGCCCTGCTCATCCAGTGGCTCGGCGAGGAGGAGGTCGACGCCAACATCCAGATCGTGAGCAACCAGGTCGCGCCCCGCGAGGGGAAGAGCATCAATGAGCCGCACGGCTGGCAGATTGTCTACCACGACGACAGCATCCACGGCCACGACAAGTCGATTGAGTTGCGCAAGTACTCGTCCCTTCCCGACCGCCCCGTCATGTTCTACGCCGGCGACGGAGTCTCCGATCTGTCTGCCGCCCGCGAGACGGATCTGCTCTTTGCCAAGCGCGGCAAGGGTGAGTTTATTCCTTTTTTTGCCGTCTTTGTCAACTGGACTCGGGACGAACCAAGCTAACCAACAAACGCAGACCTCGTCTCGTGGTGCGAGAAAGAGAATGTCTCTTTTGTCACCTTCAACGACTTTTCCGACATTCTGGACACCGTCAAGCAGATTGTCGACGGCAAGGTCAGCGTCAAGGACGCTGCGCGCGGCCGTATTCACCACTAGAAAGATTTCTCTAGATGCCAGGTACCAACCATGTGGGATAGACATACAGCGGATATATGAGCTTGGGACGTTTCTTACGATAGAGATAGACATGAACGGCGCTGCCGTGGACGGCGTTAACAATGATATTTTGGTTTTCGGATTCCCGCAGCCACGTATTGTCTCGTGGTCCCTGATTCTATGAATTTTCGTCCTTCTCATCCAAAATGCAGATCGCCAACCAAACTCCGACCGATGTTCAATCATCAGACCCAGTTTTACCACTTAGACATCCCAAACAGGGCATTCCGCCACGGCGGCTCATTTGTCCCGACTTTTGGGACGCAGGCTACTCAACAACACATGCCCAGACATCTCATGCCATCATGCTGCTGACCTACTCACTCCGCTTGCGGGCGTGCGGGATCCCGTACCAAGACGCCATCATCACGGCAAACAGACCGATGGCGATGGGGTGCAACACCCACGTCCCAGCAGCCTGTGCCAGAATACCCGTCGTGAACGGCGCCACCGCACCGCCAGAGCTGCCAAAAGCACTAATCACACCCATTCCGCTGACTCGCTCCTGCCTCGTCATACCTCTCATGAAGACCGCAGCCGCGCAGGGGTAGATGGGCCCCAGCAGTAGTCCGACGATGGCCACCGACACCGCGGGGCCGACGACGTTGGGGACCCACCAGACCAGCACCTGGAACACCGCCGCGCCGACGATAGCGAGGACGACGAAGAGCTTCTCGCCGACGCGGTGGGCGGGGTGGGACAGCAGGAACCGGCCGAGGGTGATGCCGGCCCAGAAGCCGGCCGTGACGTAGCCGACGGCGTCCGGGTCGCCGTTGCGCACCGCGATGAGGAAGGAGATGACCCAGCCCGAGATGGACACCTCGGCGCCCTGGTAGGCGAATATGAAAAGGGCGCCGAGGAGGACGATGCGCATCTTGAGGGCGGAGAACATGGCGAGCAGCTGGGTCGCCGAGGTGGTGTCTGCGTCTGACCTGGTCTGTTGCTGGGAGAGCGGCAGGTCCTTTTCGTAGTGCCAGAAGGACCAGGTCGCGAAGACGCCGTTGAAGGCGGCGAGGCCCAGGGTAATGAAGTAGTACGTGCTCCAGCTCGCGTGGGCGCCCGTGACGAGCGCGGTGGCCATCAGCGGCCCGATGGTGCCGCCCAGACCGTAGGCGCCGTGGAGGAAGCCCAGGGCGGTGGTGGCGTTGCGGAGGGAGCCGCAGAAGACGTTGTTGATGGCGAGGTTGAGGGACATGCCGAAGCCGATCATGAAGAAGGAGACGACTATCACCGGGAATGGTGCCAGGACGAGGATGGGCACGTAAGCGAGGGTGATTAGGGACTGGGCGACGGCGAGGAGGCGGGCGCGGCCGAGCTTTGCGCGGAGGGACTCGAGAAAGACGGCGCCGAAGATGAAGCCGAAGGCGTTGCCTATGAAGATGAGAGACACGATGGCGTAGCCGATATTGTAATGCCTGTCTTTGTTAGCAGCTGTCGTGATGAACGTGAAGGATGGGTAGGGGTTGTGTACTTCTCCATGTACGGAATCAGAGCACCCGGAGCGCTGTCGTTGAGACCGTTGCCGAGATTGATGAGGCAGGCGGCTGCTAGACGGAAGCGGTTCATGTAGGGATCTGTGATGCTTGGGAGGGACTCGATGGCGACGGGAGTCGACGGGCGTGACATCTCGAGGTCGCTGCCCGAGGTCGTCGGTGTGCGGCACGGTGATTGGGCTCGGGAGGGTGCCGTGCTGCCCCTTGGGCTCTTTTTGCCTGCGTTTGCATTCTTGGTGTCGATACGCTGGAGCTCAATCGAGGCGTCCTCGCGATGAGGAGATCCCGGGTATGTTCGAGGAACAGCTTCGGCGGGCGCGGCGGGGAGGAGGGGAGGGTCGTTGTCTCGGTCGCGGGACTCGACCTCGACGAGAGTCTTGAACATGGCGGCCTCCATTGCGGAATGGAAAGACTAGACTTCTAGTCTATACAAATTCATGAAGATTATCTACGGAAAAAATGAGAAAGCCATGATAAAGGGAAATTGGTTGGGGCTAGTTATCTTATATAAGAGAAGAGTAGGTGGGCTGTCAGCTGTGCTTAACAATTAAGCACCACTCCATCCCACACAGATCAGGCGAGAATGGGGAAAAGATAGAGTCACAGAAATGTCACGATGGTGGTGGCGTCCGTGGATCTGATCCTTGACGTTTCTGGCTCGTCTGGCAAGCGTCGTGTACCGAGAGGTAGGCGTTCGCACTATCTTGAGCCTATGGGCGGCAGGCGCATGCAGGGTTCACTGGGTGCAGATGGAGACCTCCTTCTCCACCGGGCGCGGGAGAACTCAAGAAAAATTTGAGAAGCATGTGGCCGTAGGCAGTGGCTGGCTAGGTCTAGCCTCTCACATCGTGAGTTGTGACGGGATGGGCTTCTCGTCTAGTGGTTGCGTGATGGGGGACGAACGGGCGGATTGCTGGAGCCAGAGGACGAGACGGTGTGAAAGCAATGGAAGACATGCAGACGTTGTCCGGGCAAGTTCCGGTTGGCAATTGACCCGTCTGAGAGACACCAGAGCTGTTTGCTTGACGCTGTGTCACGGGCGGCGTTGATAAGACTTGACTGGACAAAGGTGAGCACTACTTTGGTTGGGACCTGAGATGGAGGGGAGTGAAGCCGGGGGGAGCTCTGGAGACCACCGGGGGCGGAAACTGAATTGCGAGAAAGCGGGTCCGAGATGAGCTTTGGAAGCTTTAGGCGGAGTATGTCCGCCTTTACAGGTCCGGATCGTGATGTAAGGCGCCGGTGATCTCTAGATCGATGTAAAGGGTGGTGGCCCAGCTGGTCGGATTTCCTCATGGGGTAACTTTTTCAACTGTTGTGTTTTTGCAAGGAATTGTCTAGCTTCGAGGAGGAAGCTCCGGTGACTTGATGTAGCCCAGGTGCCCAGCAATGTCCCTGCTGTCCATCAGCGCTAGCGGAACTCGGGCCTGCCCCGCGCCAAACCCCCAATTGACCAAAATTACCTTACCCCACCACGCCACCAAAAAAAAGTTGTCGAGTCTGATTTCCTTCGAGAATAATCCCCCACCTCCGGATACAGCCTCGCCATTCTTTCCCTGGTAGCCTCGCCAACCCCAAAACACAATGGCACGCACGAAACGAACTGCCCAAGCCGCGGCTGAGGAGACCTTGAACCCTCCCGACACCCTCGAGAAGAACCAGGCCATCGTGCGCGTCATCAAGGCCGAGGGCAACAACCTATACAACTGCGAGCTGCCCAACAAGAAGGACCTCGTTCTCGAACTGGCCCAGCGTTTCCGCAACACCATCTGGATCAAGCGCGGCGGGTATGTGCTGGCGGAGCGGTACGACGAGGCAGACGGTCGGGTGATGGGCGAGATCATTAACGTCGTCCGCGATGAGAAGGCCTGGCGCAAGCAGCCCTACTGGTATGTTGACCTGTTCTTCCGCCATACTCCGTGGCCATTGCTAACGAGACCAGGCCCAAGGAGTTTGCCAAGACCAGGTACGAAGACGAAGAAGACGAGAGCGATTCCAACGTCGGCAAGATGCCGCCATCCGACTCCGAAGACGAGTATTGATTTGCAAGCGACCTGACGACTCATGATATCCCACACACTTCACTGCTCCTTCTCCTCCACTTTCTCCTCCGGCTTGCCCTCGCTCGCCGCCGCAAACCACGCCGCGACAGCGGTGACTGCCATGACGCCGACCACAACCTGCGAGCTCGCATCCGTGCTGGGATACACATTCCACGCCCACTCTTGCGCCGCCCACAGCGCGTATACCAGAACGACGGGAAGGCCGCTGCGCCAGAGGAGGTACGGCGTCGACCAGGCTAGATAGGCGTAGAACTGGTAATGCAGAGACCTGGCGAAGAGCAGACCCAACACGTTGGCCGAGAGGATCGTCGTGAGAACGTAGTGCGGCGTCACCCGGCTGGCCACCTGTCTCTCCTCCAACCCTGCAAACGGCGACTTGCCCTGCAGCATAGGGGCCACGAGCGACGAGAGCGGGCGCTGGGCAGGGTTGAGCCAGCGGGTGGCGATGAAGAGGACCAACCCCGCGACATGTAGACCTAGAAGCGCAATCGAGAATGGCTTGCTCAGGAACGTCTCCTCTCCCACGAAGCGCCAGTTGACCGTCCACTTGAAGAAGAACTGCCGCGACAGCTCGAAGGCGCGGCCGAGATAGCCCTTGGCGTTGTCGGCCACGAACGGAACAGCGATGACGATTTGTAGCTGTACCATGATCCATGCCGCGCGCAGACTGCCTCCGAACCCGCGACCGAGGAAGAGTATGACGCCCACGGCGGGCAGGACGAGGAGAAGCGACATTTTGATGCCGAGGCCCCAGCTATAGAGGATCGCGCCGGGCGTCCAGAGGCGTTTCTGGAAGAAGTAGATGGCAAGCCAGAGGAAGAGGGTCGCGAAACAGTCGTTGAAGCATCGGAGGACGAAGACGCTATGGAGGCGCTTGGAGAGGATAAGGAGGGGGAAGATGTATGGCGGGACCTGTGAAAAAGACGTTAGCTTTGTATAGCGATTGGAGGAGGATGCGATTGTACCTTTGCTTTCCAGTAGCAAGCCATGACAACCGCAAGAGTAGCCAAGTAAAGAATGGCAAACAGCTGCTGCGCCAAGAAGATGTCCTTTCCCTCGTCGGTGAGGTAGTAGAGTCCCGTGTACGTGTAGACGTGGGCGGCCGGGTAGACGAGGGGGCCGGTGCCGCCCTTGATCTTGGTGTAGTCGCGCTCGCCGGAGACGAACTGAGCCACCTGCTCCATGTACGCCACCCAGTCGATTTCCGTGTCTGAAAACTCCAAGTCAGCTACCAGAAGCCCCTTCGCTGGTGGAGGGCAAATGTGGCTAACATGGGACTTTCCAGATGATCAGCCCGCAGAGGACCGCGTCGAGCGCGAGGAGCAGTGGTGGGATGGCCTTGGAAAGCGCATGGCGGCCGTTTGCAATGTCGAGTACCAAGCGCGTCGCTTGGACATGGACTGGGAGCGTGGTGTCGGCCATGGTGCAGCTTCGGGAGCTGTGGAAGTGTTGGTGGTGAGGCTTGGTGATAGACAGGGGAGCTTCTGAAAGCTGTCGCGAACTGCAGGTACGACCCACTGTGCGGGCATCCTGAGTTGCACAATTCGTACTGTCAAAGCCTACAGGCAGTAAAAGGAGAGAATCTCGGCTAGCTGCCTCAAAGACGCAGCTGAATTATTTTTCTATCATAGAATATCATGCCCAATATATCCAGAAAACAAATAAAAGGAAGAGAAAAAGTAAACACCACTTGTCTACAACTTCGCCGGCCGGTCCCATGAGAAGAGCTTCGGCTCATTCGCCAGCTTCTCGCCCTTCTCCATCCTGATCTGGTTCACCAACTCAACAACACCCTCCGCAGTGCCGTACGATCCCTGGTATCCCCAGCCAGCGTGGCCGTAGTCGTGGACAATCGGCGTGCCATCCTCAAAAGTCTTGGTGTCAATCTCGATCCTGACGCCGCCCTCGCGGTACGGCCTCAGTCCGACGCCGTGACGAATGATGCTCAGCGCCTCGATGCCCTTGCCGCCCGTCAGGGCAGGGCACAGGTCGACGGCGCGCTTCATGATCCTCACCGCAATGTTGGGGTCCGGGTTCGCGTCCCAGTTATCCTTGTCGTAGGTGCCGCCCAGGATCGTGCCGCCGCCGTTGGCGCGAGTCATCATGTAGCACACCTCCGTCGGGCCGTCGTCGGTGCCGGAGATGGTGGCCATGGGCTCGATCTCGTTGCGCACGACGACGACCTGCCCGCGCGCGGGGCGCACCGTCTTGTCCTCGACGCCGCCCAGCTTGCACGCCAGCAGGCCTGAGGCGTTGACGATGATGTCGGCGGGGTTGCCCGTGTGGTGCAGGCCCTTGAGCTCGCGGATGTGCGCGATGACGCCGCGCTTGAAGACGACGCCGTTCTTGCGACACTCGCCGATCAGCCAGGGCAGGTAGAGCGCTGTGTTGATGCAGACGGAGGTGAAAATGCAGCCCGAGTGGGCGTTTTCGGGGAGCTCGTCCTGGCGCAGCTCGCGGAAGTCTGGCATCATGTCGCGGTACCAGGGGTCCACGGAGTAGAGAGCGTCGTAGGGGTTGCCGCCGGCCTCAATGTCCTTCTTGCGGCGGTATACAATTGACTCTGGACTGTGTTAGTATGAACGTGACATGCTGTAAATGATCAAGTAACTCACTTTGAAAGTGAATGCCGGCCTCGGGCACCTCAGCGGCCAGGCGCTTGATCTCGGGCCATGTCCTCCTCTCCCATCTGTTGTCGGAGGCGGGTGCCATGCTGGAGGTTGGCGGTCAGTGTCATATGTCTGATAACGTGATATCGAAGACTCACGGCAAGACGTTGGCTCCAGCCCACGGAGATGTGTATTCAATGTCATAGTCGCCGGGCATGTGCTTGGCGATGACAGTCACGGAGTTGGCTTTGCTCTTGGACAAGAGCAGGGCGGCAGTGAGGCCGGACACGCCAGCGCTGAGGACGGTCAGTGTGTAAACGAGCTCGAAACTGGAGGAAACTCACCCAAGAACAACGATGTGGTTCGTCATCTTTTGCTTTTTGTGATGAGCAGATACTGTCGTTGCCTTGAGAGTTGCAATACGCGTAAATACCCGAGGTGTGACTCAAATGACTTATATCCTTGAGTAGACTGTATGCGGTGAAGTCAAGAAAGTTATTTCTGATTAGTAGATGCTTCCGATAGGACTTCGACACACTCGGCTTTAAACAACTTTGATCGGGTTTGACCGGTTCAGGCTCGGGTCTCCTCTACCCTTTTAATACACCGCAAAACGATTGATACGGGCGGACACTAGCTACGCCTTTGCGTGATTTGCTGCATGCACCATCGTGCCATGTTTATCGAAATCGGTCGCGCAGGGTGTCTGGAGGCTGGGGCGTCCCTTCCCGCGGGCAAGCAGCCCCGCGGTACCGGGGCGAAAACCGGCGCGAGGCCCAGCGCCAAAACGGCCATTGGAATTGACTCACCCCCGGCCCAGCTGCGGAACTGAGCCCGCCCGATCCCGATAAAGGCCGTTGTTGTCTCTCTTTCGGCCTGCGCTGGCGCCATTGTCAACGCCTTGCGGTGACATGGTCTGGAGTCGTTCAATTGAGCCAATCCCTGTCAATCAAAGGCGTGGGCAACTGCGGTCAGATGAGGTCATTGGGCTCAGGTAAGTCAAGTATACGTAAATCGAGAGGTACCACCGCTTATGCACGTCTTTTGGCTGCCTCTAAATTTATAACCCCAATTCATCTCACGATTCAAGATCTGTAGTAACGTTTGGCGGATAGTTGCTGTGTCGAGCCGCACCTGCTGAAGCTTGATAGCTCGCGTTGGAACCAGTAATTGGCCAGTCATGTCAGCCGAATTATGTCACAATTTCTGCTATGAATTAGGTTGTTGGTTGAAGTCGCAAACCAAAGCACACTCTGTCATGGTTGAGCGCCCCCTAGCCTGCGCCAAGCTGTACAGATAATTGGAACCATCAGCGTGATCAAATGTGTGGAAAACATGACCGCGGCTTGGAAAATGAGACTAGGTAATGTGCAAATTTATTGCGGTGGTATCTATTGCCGTAACGCGCTCAGCGTGGAGCCCTGTCTTCTGGCTGCTTTTGGTGCCTTCCTCCATCCAAAACCGACTTGCATGTTTTTGTATTTACTCGGCCTTGGTCTCGTCTGCGGCTTCAGCCGGAGCAGGGAACTCAAGGGCGAACTTCTTGACAGCGGCAGTAAGGGCGTTGGGGTTGGCACCAACAACCTCCTCGATCTTCTCGCCGTTCTTGAAGATAAGGAAAGTGGGCATGGCGCGGATACCAAGGTCCTGGCTCAGATCGGGAACCTCGTCGACGTCAATCTTGACGAAGTGGAGGCCTTTGTGCTCCTTGGTGTTGGACAGGCTGCAAGAGAAGGAATTGTTAGCAGGCAGTGACCATGCAAGCGCAGACCCCTTCTCTGGGGAAAGCGTGGGCAAACACCTGGCAGACTTACTTGGCCAGAATGGGGGCGATAGCCTTGCAGGGACCGCACCAGGTAGCGAAGGCGTCGAGGATAACGAGCGGGTTATCCTTGAGGGCGTCGTTGAACTCCTCCTTGCTGTAAGGGAAGTTATTGTCAGCTATCGTAATAGACAACGCACCGCAGGCCACCACAGGGATATGGGTCGGTAGTGAACCGGTGGCAAAAGGGAAAACGTTAGGCTTACCTCTTGACGTTGTGGACAACCATGTTGGGCGAGGATGCGTGAAATGCTCGGTATGTGGAAGGTAGTGAGGTTTTCGCGATGCGTTGAACTGGACGGAAGAGTCTGAAAGACATGTGGGATGGAAGGAGGGGCACGCGGCGGTGACGCGGGAGGAAATCGGACTAAATAGTGAGGAGGGGGAGGGGGAAAGAGCAAGGCTGCTTAGGTAGAGTCTCCGAGGTGTGGTTGGGCAGGCAAAGGGCGTCTGAGAACCAGCAGCAGCAGGCAAGAATTCGCTCGGAAAGGCTCAATGTGGATGTCGTTAATAATGTGCTAAGTAGCTGCCCATAGCGCAGAATCAGTAAAGTGACATGGGCGCTGCTAGTAAATTCCCGTGTTGATTTGTCAGGACCTCAGGGTATCGATGACGCGAGAGGGACGCCATGGGAGTGGCGCACAAGGCAAGGATACTTGCTTTCTGCGAGTAATTGTTATGGCATCAGATGTACCTCCGTCTGTGCGTCTTTGCATTCCGATACCACAGCTGAGGTTTCCGGGGGGCTGTCACGGTACCCACTCTTTCCTCAACGGCTCTCGGTCGGCGATCATTCGCGGAGCTCGGTCTTGATCTGATTTCACATCTTCAAATGCCGACTCACCTCACTCTGACAATCGCCTTCTTAATAAGTCAGCCTATCTCGGAGCTTCCACTCAGCTGGCTTTCGTGTCACCATGAACAGAATTCGTCAGCATTTTCAGGGAATATTCCAAATTCACAAACCCATGTCTGCATCTACCCGGACAATCTGTAGGGCTGGAAAATCCTACGTGCGCCAATATCGAGGTCCAATAAAAGCATTCCTGTCGAACCAACACACAGTGCCCTTCTAATAATAACATGCCAAACCAAACCAACACATAATGCCGCGTGCCATGCTTATTCCGCTGTCCGACTTCGCACCACCATCTTTGCCGACAACAACTTAGCCATCACATCTTGATATCCGAGCCTGGCGGCCAGGTCAAGCGGAGATGCCGTTGAATCCTTGAGCCCTAACACCTTTTCGACTACAGCCCATTGATCCAAAAACTCCTTGCCGGCAAATTTATCTGCGGCGCCTTTTCCAGAGTCAATGCACCTGTTGTCGAGCAGGGCGTCAAGAGCCTCTGCGTTTCCGGATACAGTAACGGCGCGGAAGAGTAAGTCGTATGAAATGCCTGTCACATCCTGACCAGTGTCTCTCCCACTGAGGTGCCTGATGATCGTTGGGCGGCCCCAGAGACATGCCAGCGCGAGGTATTCGCATGCCCCGAACATGTCGCCATCATCCTGCAATGAGCGGCGATTCTGGAGAAGGAAAGCTGCAAGTTGCTCATCCATAGCAATCGTCCAGCACAAAACCTGATGGAACATAGCGGGTGGCATTCGAGCACCTTTGCCCGATAACGTTGTCAGAAATATGACGTTGGTCTCATAGTTTTGGCCAATGAGGGGCTGGATGGTAAAGCCATTTGAGACTCTTCTGTTGTGACTGGATGACGAAAGGGATCTCTCGATCGTCTTGAGCAAGAAATTCTTCGTCTCGTTGTCCAAATTGGTGGTGAAAAACGTTGCTAGGGCCGCGTTCAAAATCTCAACCGGATACTCAAACACCGAAAACAATGTTTGGATACCTCCCATCTCCCCAAAAGCTGCCCTTGATAACAAAGCTGCGCCGTTGATGTCTCTGGCACCATCCTCGAATAGTGCCAGCACGTCTTCCGCATTGCAGCCGTGCATCACAGCAAAAGCTAGACCCGCAGATATGTCAGTACCCTCTGGTTCCTGTACACCGAAATCCATGAGGAATCTTCTGGCATAAACCGCGCCCCTCTCAGTCGCGGCCTTCAACACAGCTTGGAGATCGAGAAACCTTTCTTCGGAGCTTCTTTCGTCCGGAGCTGCTAGAAGAACCTTCAAATAGTCCACTTGCCCTTCGAGTGCCGCACCCAAGATTGTCTCTTTTAAGCAACCAGCCCCCATGTTCACCAAGTACTCAAGTTTCGGCAAACCTCCCCACCGAAGAGCTGAGAAGAGGACAGATGTGAGATCCATCTCGCCGTTGGTGGGACACAAGTATCTCTGTCCCAAGTCCACGCCAGTTTCCACCAAAGCCTTGACGATCTCGAGGGAGGCTGCCGCCTGCAGAGCCATACCTACCTGTAAGCAGGAGGGGTCGAAATTGCGCAGTATCCATCTGACATTGCTGACGTTATGTCCTCTCGAGGCAACATATAAGAAGTCAACGCCTTTGTGTGTAAGAGATGTTATCGAACAGGATTTTGAATCGATTAGACCTTTCATCATAGGCCAGTATCCGTAGTCTGCTGCAAAATGCAATGGATATCGACCTAGAGGCGACGACTCGTGTATTAGACCTTCTGAGAGACCAAGCCCGATAAAGTATCTCCGTCCTGTCATCAAATACCACCAATTGTGAAAGCTAGAGCCGCTCATATCACATAGACTTGATATCTGCTTGCTCATAGAGGCATCGACTTCTTGGTTATCTGACTGCCGGTCCGTGTGGATCGCCCAGTGTCTCGCAGCATACTTATAGAAGCTGACAGTGACAGTGGGGAAGGATTTGAGCAGTTGAATATCAGACTCATCAACCTCTCCACCATTGGCAGGAATCTTCTGTCGTGCCGGCCAGCCGTCCAAAAGGAGATACTGGATCGTTGCAAGGGCCATAGTCGAATGGCAATCCGAAAGCTTCAAACTATGCATCCATGCTGTTGACTTCATTGATGTCGTCACCAATAGAAAATCTCGAGCGGTTTGATGAACGAGGTGAACCGTCGAGTTGATGATCCTGAGAAAGAAACCCCCAAGCTGCTTCACTGTGTATTCCATATCCGGCTCTAGATCTTGCAAAAGATCTTGAACGGTACGATGGGTTGAGCTGATGCACATGGCCATGTTGATCTCGTCTAGTGTGAGCGGACGTGTCGCGGCGAGGACAATCTGTAGCATTCTGGTAACAGCCACATGGTCCTCGACATCCAATAAGGCGGTTTCGTAGAGCTGGTCCAAGTCGGCGGGGGTATCCTCCAAGGTGCTCTTGACTGCACTGAGCTTTCGTGACGGAAGCTTGGAGATGGTCTCTAGAACCAGAGATGCCCATAAGAAAGTGCGATCTGCCCCCTGAGCGAGCGTGGTTTCCAGGATAGAACAGGCCTCCGGTGTTATCGTGCCTTCTACCCTTAACTTGCCGACCTTTGCTTGAACCATCATTTCGATGTCTCTTGACAGTGAAGACGTCTCATTTTCGCCACGGAGACGAACGCAGCTGAGGTAGCGAAAGCGGGTCTCGATGCTGGGCCACGGACGACTCGTTACGATGATTTTGAGGCGCCCAAGCAACTTTCGGCTGCCGATCATTTGAGGGAAAGTGCTAACGAGGAGGTCGATAAATCTGTTTCTTGTCACCTCACTGCACTCGTCCAGGGCGTCGATGATTACGATAATCTGCCTATTCGAAAGAGAGTCAGACGTCTCGCAGAGGATATCCCACAACTTCTCGATATTTTGTGTAAAGTTCTTGCTGTCGCTCGATGAGAATTCCTTCATTGCGAAATTGAGAGCCTTGGCGTGCTCCTTGAAGACTTGATGCAATATGGCGCAAAGGGCTTGATGTGAGTGGTGTCGGCCCTCTTCGCCAGCCTTGAAGAAGAAGTAGCAGACGGTGGCTTCGGAAGCCTGTCTGGAGAGGATGTCGACGAGGAACCGAGATAAGACTGTCTTGCCGCAACCCGGATTTGCCGTCACCCAGAGTAAGGCCGAGGAAGTATCTCTCAGCCAACTCGTGAAAGTTTTGTGGTTCAGAAACCAATGGCAAGTTCCTTGGACTGGCGTCTCGATGCTCAATCTCTGGCTCTCGTAAGCCCCTCCTGCGCTGGACAAGAGCTTGAGGCAATCTGCAAACACGTCAACTCATGGGCGTAACACTTTTCAAGCGGAACAAACCTCTTTCGCTATCCTTCAGCTTGTGAACAGTCGTATACTCATGTGTCTGAATCGCCAGCATCTCCTTTGAACACCGTGCGATATCTCGAGCAGTGGTTGTATCCCGAAGATACGTTTCGGTTCTCATCGCCACGTTTCCGATCATTTTGTAGTTCCCAAGATCGACCTCTCCGATACCTGGGGCACTAAATCGAAAAAGACGGTGATCCTCCGCTAATTGCTTATGCGTGCGGTGGAACCTGATCCAAGATCCCTCCGTCGCCGTTGCGAGCTTGGTCATAGACCTAACGAGTTTGACGACATGACCGCCAAGCGGTGTACTTGGTTTCGTCCCTGTGCCGATGCTCACAAGGAACATATCTCGTCCAGGCCAAAGGTCGGTGGCTTCGTGGTGGACCTCGAAGATGGGGTTGTTGCTCTTGAAGGCGCCGTCAACGTAGCCCTCGTTGCCGCGCCGGTATTCTTTGAAGTAAGTGCTTGCGGCGGAGGTTGCACGGAGAGCCTCCCACATCTCAAACTTTGCAGAGTGCACATCTGGCTGTTGCTTATTGACGTAAGACCGCAGTAGGAGGAGTTCCTCGTCGTCTGCGCGAACCGTCGCAACGAATCTAGCAAATCTGATTAGACAGAACTCCATCTCGACATGAGCTGGGGGAGACTTGCACTTTACATGGTGATCCTTGTAAGGAGTCCTGCAGCATGGTGTTGCGGGAGCCCGTTCGCTCTTTGATGATTTGTTTCACCAGCTCTTCCATCTTGGCTGAGTCGTACCGCTCGTTGGCGGATATGAGGTCGATGCTTCTGCTGAATACGTTGCATTTCCAACGTTTTGGAAGAAAGATTGTCTTCGACAGCTTCATGTAAACGTCATGGCACTCGTCGACTGACATTCTGAGACAACCGAGCATGAGAGCAATGATGCTGAAGCGGAGATCAGAATGAGGAGACCAGTTGGGGTTGATTCTCTACTACTGACCCTCCAGTGCTCGTGCCTCCGATGAGATCGAAGACCTGCCATGGTTGAAGGTGGTCTTCTGGCTTCCTGTCTATGTTGACCTGGCGCATCACCTCTTTGAGGACTAGGATAGAGGATACACCTCTAATGCCACCTCCATCTGGTATCGTGCATGGTCAGTCTTGACGCCAGCGAGGTAAGTTGCGAACGGCTTACCGAGAGAAAGGAGACGGATTGGCCGATTTTCATCCATGCAATTGATCTTTCAAACTTTTACTACTTGGCCGGAGAAATCGCGTGATACAATGGCTTGGAACTGTGCGACGATGATGAGTGAAGAAAGATGAAGAGTAAACCATCGAGGGGACGGGCCGCGCGGGTGGCGCCGTTCATACATAGCACCAACAATGTTGGAGTCCTCCAAGGCGCTTCATCAGAACGTATGGCTGTGCTGTGGGGTGATTGAAGCAATGCAACTGCAAGCAGGGGTGGTTAAGCGCCAGAGTTGATCAGCGCTTAATGTTGGTGCTGTTCCGCGCACTTTGGCGGGACTTTGATGGAGCCCAGGCTCATAACTCAAGGAAACACTCCTGTTTGATCAGAATAGTTTAGAGCAGTCTCCCCCTTTATCCGTGATATTCGTATACAGGGTCTCCGGGGAGGGCCGCTGGGATGGTCTTTGTGTGCCCCGAAAGGTCGGCCCCACATATCGGAGCCGACTCCGATGCTTGAATGAGACAGAGTGTGCCGCTGCCGCATCGGCATCTACCCGACATCCGAGGCATGTAGCTTGGCCAAAGGCAAGTCAATTGCCGAGCGGCAAATCAAGTTCAACAACGAGTATTTGGAAACAAGGAGCAATTTGGTGATTTGTGGTTCAGGATATCAACGCTCAAAAGCGAATGCGCCAGAGTCCTTGTAATTATCGCGGCGTGGGAATCGGCCTTAATCCCGTGAGAATGGTGACCACACCTTTCCAATCCAAGTGTAAAAACTACGGACTCATAACCGACCTGCGTTAGGACTTTGGCAAAGAACCAATGGTGACCCTGGCCAGCCCCTCTTGTTCGATTGGGGGCTGTGCCAAACCCCCGGTTATCTGTAGGCAGCGTCAGCTGGGCTGAATCGATGAAGTACCGTACCCGTCCCCATGCCGCATCTTCGTGCAACATACGCCAAGGCTAAATACCTCATGTGCCGCACCTGATTATCTGAGCCACTTCTCTGGAATTTCTTCCAAAATTCAGGTTTTCCTCGCCAACGTTACCATGGCATCACATCAACGGACCGACGTGGCGAATTTCCCTTACTCTCCACTCAACGAAAGCCGCAACGAGATTCGCGTTCTCAACTTACAGACACTAGAACTACCACCACTGGCCAAGTTACGCGATGAGCCCCCGGAATGGCATGGCCTCGTCCACTGCACTCTGCAGCACGTCTCTCTCGACGCTCATCTATCAGACTACCGCCTGTTTGAATCAAACTCTTTAATAAGACCACTGTCCAGGCGCAATAGCGATGAGGGCTGGCGTCAATTTTCGAACGAGCGATATCGCTCACTGAGCCCCACGAGGTCAAGCTCGCCGGCTGAACGAGACAGGTCGCATCAGAGGTACCATCGCTTTGCATGGGGCGACTACGGAGCACTCAGCTATGCTTGGGGCGATCAGACTGTCAAAGTGCCTATCATTATGGACGGTCGAGTCATTCTCGTGGGCCAGAATCTTGAGGCGGCGCTGAGAGCCTTGTCTTCGGATCCGGATTATGTTGGTGGCTTGAAGATTTGGGTCGATGCCATTTGCATCAACCAGAAAGACTTGGCTGAGCGCAATCGTCAAGTCAAGCGAATGCGCATGATTTACGGCAAGGCTCTGGTCGTGTCGATCTGGCTCGGCAAGGTTCCAGACGACGCCATCCACGATTTTGCACTGCTGCATGAGTGCATCGTCAAGTGCAAAGACGATCAAACAGCTTCCGAGGTACTTGAGAATGTGCTCGCCGATCCGGTAAAGAAGGAGACCATTAGGAATTCGATTGACACTGTCGTTAGCGCACAATATTGGACCCGAGTGTGGGTTATCCAAGAAAAGTGCCTTGGGCCGTTCAATCCCTCAATTCTCTTTGGGACGTTCCGCATGGGGTTGATCCCGCTGAAGAACTTCCTACAGCGCGCAACCAACATCCGTGGTGCCGTAAGGGCTCGAGAGAAGGTGTGGCGGGTGCTTAAGCTCGTTGAGTTGGTTGAAGCCAATCAAGAGCGCGTCCGTCGTGGTCGTGCGCAGACTTTAGAAGAAAAGAGAAATGACCAAGACGATCTGGGGCTGCTGCTAATGGTTGGGCGTCTCGCTGGCTCACTTGACCTGCGAGACCGGCTTTACGGCTTGATGGGGATGATACCCGAGTATGTGACGAAACATGTCGAGCCAGATTATACAAAAGACGTATCCGAGGTGTTCTGTGACTTTGCTAGAGCACTTGTCTCCGGCTTCGAGTCTTTCGACATCATCCTTACTGGTACCACAGACTCTGATCTGGAGCTTCCGTCTTGGGTACCTGACCTGACTTCTGCGTGGGATCCCTATCTCTGGGGCACTGACTGCGATGCTAGCTGGGGTCAAGAAGCAGAGTTCAGATTGGACAATGGTGGGCGGATACTAGTGACGAAAGGATTCCAAGTTGACGTGGTGGACGGAACGGCACCTCATTTAGGATGGGCAAGTGGAGGACTTTCAGTCTTGGAAGATGCTGTGCAGCCGGCTTGCACGATATTGCCACAAAACGCGAAAGAGGCAATCATCAAAACCCTGCATCGAGCAGCGATCTACGATTGCCATACTGGAACAACGGTCCTTGACATTCCATGGCTCGACAGCTTGGACAGCAACGATCCGAATATCATCGCAATGAAGGAGAGTGGCTGGGGCCCAGTCCTGAACCACGCCAACTTGAAAGACTTGAATCAGTTCCGAAAGCAGGTCGCCGCTCATTGGAGACCATGGGGTTGCGATTTCAAGAGTTTCTTTCCCCGTGTTGAGGATGTGGGGATGTGCAAGAATCCTAAGGCGTTCGTAGAATCCTTGGATAAGCATGTGGGCATCGTATATCCTGTATTTACCACCGAGAGAGGACTCTTCGGGACGGCTACACTGAAAGCACTCAGGAAAGGGGACTCGATCTTCGTGATCAAAGGCTGCTCCGCACCTATCATTATGCGGCAACAAGGCAATGGTTGGCGGGTGATTGGCCAGTGTTTCGTGGAAGGTCTCATGCGTGGTGAGGCAAGAAAGTGGTTGGATAAGGGGGAGAAACAATTGGTCGAGATTCAAATAATATAGATGAAGAGAGCGCATAATTTTCCTGTGTCTGCGCGGCTACCATCACTCCTATCGAAGACGATAGTAGCGACAGCGACGACGACGACGAGAAGTCATAATGACGACAACGACAAGGTAGAGTCTAGCTACAGGAAAAGCAGTCGCTTAGCACAGGAAAAATAGGCGGTCACTAGATGAAATATCGATTTTGCGATATTGAGATGATTTCGTTGCACTCAATGGTAAATCTCATACTGTCTACTTTCATGCGACGTACTCATGATCATATGGGTATGTTCAACCCCGCCAATATTGACCTCAGTGATGTCTTCAACCTGTTGGTAAGCAGTTAGGTAGGCTTTGTGTGAAGCTAACCTCTCTACTTCTTTAAGGCGAAGCAGCGTTCAATATTGTCTGCATTATTGCCCCACCAATTCACCATTACAGCTCCCGTCGTTCCGAGAAAGATGAAGATGAACAGTAGATTGGCATTAAACCCAGTGTCCAATGCGGCGCCACTGATGTAAGCCCACTTATTCCAAAACTTGCGTCTGTACCGGTACAGATAGAAATTGAAGAACGTTCCAACCAGGAAGGTCGTGAAAGGTCCGGTGCTGAGATTTCCGTGGAAGGTGGCGGCGCTGGCAAAGAAGATGGTCGAGTTCCAAAGATCAAATCTTGCTTTAGGGAACTTCTTGTGGAGGAGCCAGATAATTATGGGAGCCACTGCTCCTGCGGGGAACCCATATAAAACTGGCTTGAAGAAAGATGATGCGAAGAGTTTCTTTGGACCGACTAGGGCGTATTGAATACCAGCTGTGTTGTAGCTCTTGAACTCTTGTCCCGTCCACTGCCCCGCAGGATCGGGGACGCGGCCACTGACGTAGTCGAATTTTGAGGCGATGACCCATCGCATGACGCCATAGTTGATTGGAAGGGCGAGCATGTTTGCGATGATTTGGATGCCAATCACGTCCCTAGGGGGTAGATGGAGATAGTGGCCAATCTGCGTTTTCGTGAGTCTTGCTTCATATGCCGAGGAATGAGATCGCGCCTTACCTTTTGGTCCTCAAGAACAATTCGAGCATCATACCAAACGTTGCCGGATATGATGCGGTAAGCGAGCTGACCAAGTGGATGGCGAGATGATCCACGGGCGTCGATCATATCTGAAGACGATTATCAGCTTCAACTGGCCATTACAGGTAGAAGTTGGGCACTTACAGCCATAGATGAGCTCATTAAAAAAACCAACCTTGATCGAATAACCCGACATGGCGTAGACCAAACTCATAGGTAACATGGCTGCAGCACCAAATCCCAGTGCGACGAAGTAGGTCCAGGTCGGCATCCAGATTGACTTCGTGGCGACAATGACGAGAAGGATTCCAACGGGTATCGCCGTGAGAAGACCCCATTCCCTAGAAAAAGTCAGGTGCTGCGCGGTTCGAATCTCCAATGGAGCTTACCATAAAGTGAGACCGGGATATTGTTGGATGATGCGGCTGTTCGAGTCAGAAAAAGTCCTCCCCTAGCATCTTAATTAGGTGATTGCTTACCTCAAACGATCCTGATGGTATTCTCCTTTATCCTTCCTGGCTTTCCAAATCTTGACAATCTTGGGACCCAAGAACAAGCCACACCAGACAAACGAGGAGATGTATGATGCATACCACTGTATGAAATAGCATTAGAAATTGAATATTCGTACCCAGTAGATGGCTTTGATGTGTTTCACTTACCATGAAAATCTCCCACGTGTATTGGGCGCCTGAGTAGGCAAGGCCAACTTCGTGGTATCTTGTCTCATTGACATGTTGGTTCCCGCTCGAGTCAGTGTAGACTGGGCTAATTAGTCATGAGTCACCAGTTGGGATAGATTATTATTACTCAAAGACTCAAATGGATAATCTGATCCATTCTTCTGGAATACGCCATTGGACATGATGTTATACGTAGGGGAACCCCATAGGTTCCCGAAGTACGCAACCGGGATCAAGATCCAAGTCTAATGAAATGTTTCTCTTAGTATCGTGAAGCCAAGATAGGGAACTTTGGCTTACCGTAATAACAAAACCAACGAAGATGGTAACCTGAACGCTGTAAGGGTAGGTGATGACCGTAGATGTGATGTTGGACCAGTTGAGTGTGATGTTGAGAAGTCCGACACCTCCTCTGCCAGCACCGAGAAAGTTGACCACATGGTTGCGGCTAGCAAACCAGCAGAGAGGCGCAAGTGCGGCAACGAATGGGAATATATACTCAGGCAGGAACTGCCAGACAAATGTCCCCAGCAAAATCCACCAGAACACCTGGATAAGAACGTCAGCCATTTCCAGGATGTACGCGGGACAAGTTGTTTACCTTCATCTGCTTCTGAGAAACGCTTTTGTGAAGCTCGCTTTTGCCTTGCATGCTTCTATAGAGCGTGACTTGCTGCAGAGAAAGTGGGAAGATGAACTCCGGATCATCAATCAAAATCTTTCGAACTTGGTGGAGTTAGCAGGTTCTCTTTGAGGCTAAGTTCTAGAGCCTTACCCATTGCTGCGAAGGCAAATCCGAGAAGCGATGCACCCTACCAAGATCAGCTAGTGGGACACACAAATAGGTTGATGGAACTGACCCATCCGAAGAACAAAGCTATGGCTGGATTTATTGTGATGCCGTAGTATAAAGCCGCATTCGTGGGCAGGTAAGCTGGATCAGGTCAGTGCAAGTAGTAGCTAAAGGGGTGGACTGCACTAACTTGCCCACTGGCCTTGACTGCCAGCATTTGCCGCAATTCCAATGATTGCATGCTCTTTGATAGAAAATGGCCCAGGGTTCAGGGAGAAAGAAAATCGGCCCAATGGCACGGTATAAGCTGGCAGTATTCTAGCAAGTAGCCTTCCAAGAGGGGCTGATGCCAAGATAACGAAGAAGACTGGGAACGGCGCAGTAGTTGTTCGGAAGCTACTCATTATTCAGTTTCCATGCTAGATCAGTGGTATCGAGACGTAATCTTACTATGAGAGTTGAGAAACAGTGCTGCCAATCGTACAAAAGATGGTCGAGAGTAGAATGGATCGAAAGGTTATGACGGGCAAGGACGGGTCATCTTCGAAGCCCACGACGGTCCGAACAAGCTCTGGAATATTTGCGAACTCTTCGGATTTAAAGTCATATTCCGGCTCCGAATCATCAGTCGATCCCCGCTTTGTTCCGTCTGGACTGTCATCTAGCCCGCCGAGAAAGAGCTTCTCCGTTGTATCAAGCACAGGATCAACAGCCACACTAGGGGCTTTGGAATCGTTCAGCGCAGCCTTCTCATCCCGTAATTGTGACATGGCTGCGTTATTGCAAAATACACGCTACGAGAGAAGACACTTGGGAAGGACGTCATTGCATTCAATATAAAGAAAACAACTACAGGTCTGTCTTCCGGGCACTAACAGCATGCAATTGCGGATCTTCGTGATGTGCTGTGAAAGGAGCTGCGTTGCCACCCCGATAATGCAGTTTCTTCTTCAAGATGGGAATAGCTTATCATCTTATGGCAGGGGAAATGACAAGGCAATAATTGGTCAACGTTCAATCCCGCGAAGAACCCCGGAACACTTGTTGGGAATGTCGGACGAGCTAGTGGCTGGGCCAATAGCGAAGTTGGCGATATTCTGCGTCGCACTCGCTCCGACCTCGAGGCCCGTATTGGTCTTTCTCGCGTCGGCTATTTACCTCACAATCTACCGAGCAAACTGCGGGAATAGCATGGGATGTGGAGGGATCTTGCCGCAACGAATGAGGCATGCATTATCTGATGGCGTTATCAAGACGCAATGTAAGTGGGGTATGTCGAGCTCAAAAGGCGGGATGCGGGCGAGTCCTGTTGGGGTTTAAACCAACAGCCTATGATAAGGGAACAGGAGACAAGACTCTCGGATGAACATGACCGTTGGAGACTATCTACCGACTTGGCGCATGAGATAGCTCGACGATTGTATCTATGCTATCTCGCAACGTTGCAGGACGTATTGACAAGTTTGACAGTTCGTTGCTCCCGATATCAATGGGCTTGTCGACAGTTTTCATCTGAGTAGTTGCCAAGTCGACTTATCTTATCAATCTCCGAGATCTGCAGATGTAGAAATAAGCCTACCAACATGGTATAGGAAGCTAACTTACAGATAGATGTCAAGTGACCACCCTCTCTCCTGCCTGTGTCTGAACATTCTTGTGACGACAGAATGATGGATTTAAGTTTGGCTTTGGGCTCACTACTGTGTCTGATATTGCTTTGATAGAACGAAAGAAGTTTCCCAGAGAAATGCGGGCATCCAGCGACCCTTTTCATATCAAAAGAGCTCAAAGTTCACAGAAATGATCATAGGAAGTGAGGACTATGCCGAAACATTAGGTGAAAACGGAGATCTATGTGTCTATTGCAGTACTGCCGACGTGCCTGGCATAAATGCGTGTCCTTATTTCAACTCCCATCAGGCTGTTCCGAGATTGCATGGGGTATACCTCGTGAGTGACGCAGAACGTTTAGCAGTTGCCACCGTTGGAGAGAGACTCATTGGGGCCAAGACCACCGGTGGCATCAACGCCACAGCTGGTAGAGGTCTTGAAGTTGATCGTAGCGCCGGACTGGGAGCTCTGAACAGATCCAGTGGCTCCTGCGTCGACACAAGAGCTTCCAACGACTCCGCCGACGGAGTTGCGGACTTGGATGTTGCATCGCAGAGCTGAGGCCGAGGTGACAGCAGCGAGAACTGCGAGGAAGGAGGAGATGCGAACCATGTTGCTATGAGAGTTTCTTAGCATTTGTTACCAAGTCAAGCCAATGACCGACGTGTAGCTTACACTATCTTTTGAGTCGGAAGGACAATTGATTATTGAGAGTGAGTGTGAGGTCGGTTTGAACGAAGACTGTAGTGATGGGATAGAAAGCTGATGATCAGAAGCAATCCGTGGGCTGAGGCTTTCCACGGCCTTTTGTATGTTTTTACACGTATCTTACCGGTGTGTACTGTCACAAGATGTACCAATCAACATGACTTGTACTTATGCACGGCACTGATCCTGGACCTTCCCCTAAGATGTTCGAGTTTAGAGTTCACTGGGGTTCAGGATACAACATGTTGTTCTGTCTGGGGGTCCTGTGCTTCAGAAAATGAAGACCAGTGATGCTTTCCTTCTCGAGAATAGCCACGTTGATAAAAGTGCCCACTAACGTATGCATACAGAAAAAAGGTTTGGCGAAACACGATGTACCTGCTGGATGTTTTAATCGTCATGTACCGCCCCTCTGCTGTCTTGGGTTGTTTGTGCTGGGTCCAGAATCACAGAAAAACTTAGCACACTCAAAGGAATCTCAATTCGACCACGCAAAATGTAAAGACAGAGAGCACTTACGTTTTCCCCATACTTCGCCCTTCTGGATTGGCGGTTAAACCAAAAAGATGAAAGGTTCTCGAGGACTTCAAGATGAAAAACCACTAACCTTCTTTCACTAACGACGTGGAGGCCAATGATAAGATTGCTCAGCTCCCTCGAGTCAAGACAGGAAAGCAAGCGAAGTCAGATTCAGTGAACATAGTCCCTGAAACTCTATAGCTTGGCGGGAACATGAGTCATGATCACATGTTCTAGATTACAGGGTGATCGTAAACCCGACAAAAGTCCAACTTGAGCGGACTGCTGCTTTTAGGAGCACCTGTTCACCTCACACTTTGTTAGGCTTGGTTAAGCGGTTCTCCCCGCACAGTCGGGTTTTCTACAGGTTCTAGAACCTGTCACACCCGTTTTGCATCAGATGGAACGGCTACTTATCCATGCTAGGTTGCCCATGCGAAGGGAAAAGCCAAGTACTGGGGTAGTCGGTTGTTGTTCACCAAATTGAGGATTGAATGTCGTTCTGGGTCATTGTGCTTCTCAGCTTTCAGCAAGAGCGAAACAAGAAAATACCTACTCACGCATGCAACTGTATTGCGACAGATGTCGCGCTGCCATGTCGTGGAATTCTACCTTAGAGTCAAGCTCAGCCTCTGAGGCGATGGGGATATGTGGTGTGGGATAAAAGCAATGGAATTACCTTGGAGCGAAAGAACTCGATTTCAAGCAATGGGAAGCACACATTGAGTTGGCTGAGGAGATTGATGGAGACTACGCCTGGAGTCCAGTATCCGTTTCAAACGTGTCGTCTGCCCTTGCCCCGAGAGACGTTGCCATAGGAGAGTCACAAACAGCGGAAAGGCAATTGCCACGTAGGGGGAATAGACAGAGGGTTGGCCCAGCAAGAGAAAGCCAGTTTCGTATGGTCATCGGCATTAGGCTCTACAAGACGAGAACGAGGTGGCCATGAAGGGAAGGCAGAGAGTCAATTACGCAGCTTTCCACGATGCCACAAAATGTATAGTTTCTCTTGTACTCTACCGATTCCCAAAAGGTCCTGCTTACTTCTTGCATAACGTCACATCGCATGTGTTTCCCGCTGGCTTTATAACCAGAAAACTCACCATATGCATCATGTCGTCCGTCATGTTGTCTGCGAGCCGCAGACCTCGACACTTGCGAAACAACAGAGCGATGGCCAACCTCAGTTCCATCCAAGCCAGGTGAATTCCAATGCACGATCGTGACCCATGACCAAATGCCGAGAAAAGTTGCTTCTGCCTCTCCGTCGGAACTCCGGGCATGAATCGAGACTCGTCAAATCTAATGGAGATAAGCAAAACGATGTCACCAACGTCACGAAGCAGAGTATGCGGAACTTACTTCAAGGGGTCTGAGAACACTTCGGGAAGGCGATGGATAGTGTAGGCCTGCAGTGCTACTTCCGTACCTCCAGGGATGAAGTAACCTCCAATGGTAGCTCCGCACGGCGGTGTCTCTCTAGGGAAACTGCCCGATGCAGAGCCATAGAGACGCATCGATTCGTAGATGACAGCATTCAGTAATGGGAGCTTTTCCAGAACAACGTCGTCGAAATGATCGTCCAAAGCTGCAACTTCATCCTCGAGCCGCCGTTGGAGCTCGGGTCTCTTCAGAATCGCCCAGACGATGTATGTCAGTGAGTTCGAAAGCGTATCTGATCCAGCGATGAGCATGTTCGAGGCTTCTACCCGGATAACGTCGTCAGTAAGCTTAGACTTTTCGTTGGTTTCGCTTTCGGCCAGGATCGTAGCAAACAGATTTGCCTTATTGTCCTTATTCCGGCGCAAGTTTTCGACAGCTTTCTGGCCGTACTTAATCATCTCCCCTCTCGTGTTGGTTAGTAGCTGCATTGTCCTGGGTGAAAGCCGTGAGAGATGACTGATCAAAGCGTGTAGCCACGGCAGCTCGATGCGTCGGGCACTGGCAGCAGCTGCTGCCTGGAGAACCTCGACGAATCGGTTCTTCTGATTGTTGATATCATCAGCCTTTGCTCTCGGTATGATGCGAGATATCAAGACGTACCTTGCCCAGCTCTAACAATTCGAAAGATTCTCCGAAGGCTAGCTGTCCAACAACATCGCTGGCCATGAGTGTCCACCATTTCAGAACGTCAGATCGGCCCTCCATCGCTTCAGACCGAATGCAATCAGTTGCTTTCTCAACTTTCTCGCGCACCAATGCCTCGCAGTTTTCACGAATCGAAGATATAGTAAACGCGCGAGCGAAAAGCTTACGGCGGGCGGCATGCTCCTTTGGATCGATTATCGTAAAAATAGCAGGATTGGCACCACCCGAGATCTGTCTATAGAACTTCGACTTGATGAAGCCAGACCCCATCCGATAGATATCAATGTAGCCATCGGGGTCGGCCACGGATATCTCATCCGGGGTGATGCGTACAACGGGACCATAGCGCTCATGAAGCGAGTGGATATAGTACATGCGCTGGCCCGTGACGGTGTAATATTTCAGAACCCAATGCGTAAAGTTGATATACCAGGGTCCAGGTATGTGCTTCAAAGGTGAGGATATAGCAGCCACGGCAAGCTAAATCGCGAGATCAGCATCAGGCAGCTGGCGGCCAGCAACGGAAAAATCTTTGGACTTACGCGAACTGACACGGCTATGCCGAGAATAATAAAAGCGACGAGCATGGTGATCGGACTGAGGAGAGCCATTTTGGCTTCGTGAGAAGACAGCCCGTCGAGGCGGATGGGAAGAGGGTGGCAGCGTGTTTGATATATCAATCACCGGTCACGGGGCTCGGCTAGGGATGGCATTAGACCACCTCAAATTGGAAGCTGGAGGTATCAGGACAGAGCTGGAATGTAGGTCTCAAACCCATCGAACGCGACAAGAAATGATCGCAAGACGTTGGACCTATTTTGTAAGCAGTCGGAATAAAGTTTCATGACAATCCCGCCCCTCTTCGGACAGTAGGACTACCAGATGCCGCTTGCTGTGTAACCTGTATCATCAATATCCAATTGCCACGTCGTCATTGGCTACGTGAGACATGTCCGACATGTCTTGGACCAAGGCCAAGGATTGGATAGCACTTTCGTCTTAGTGGCAAAGTTTGTTTCGCCAAAGTTGCCGGTGGGAGTGCAGGAGCCAAATCTATGCTTGGTACTCATCTAAGCGGCTCTCGGTGTTGGGTGTGGACCGAATGGTCATCTGTTTCGACTGCTAGAGCAACTTTCAAAACGTAATGCAGTCAGAAATACATCGTTGTTAAGTCCTGCTCTTACATGATTGGCCGATGGGAGCATATTGATGTCTTCACTCTGAACAACTCAATCAGTGTAATTGAGACAGGCAAGTAAGGCAAGCGAGTTGTAGCACCAAGAGCTATGCAGGAAACACTCAGGGTCTTCCAGTTTGGGAAATCTACAATCTATGCACGAGATTTGTTGTAGCCTACTCATGGATTCTTTTGAGGGTTGTCTTTTCCATCCAGCGCCGCCCTCGAAGTCCCATCTCATGCACGCGCGTTGAAAGAGAAATTAACAGTAGTCACGTCGGTAAATGTGCAATGAAGGTGCTTTTGAATTGGTTTTTTGGTCATGATATTTCCCTCGTCCAAGTTTCCACCGCAGAACTCCAAAGTTTCCCTGCTATAAATACAGATTCATGTCGGCTTTTCCCAATCCTTTTCATCACATCACAGACGGCTTTGCTTGATCAAGTGAGCATTGACCGGGGTGATGGCCTTGCCTGTCTTCTCAAAGGACAGAATATTCTCCATGCCCAGTCTCTCAAAGCCAATGTGAGCGTCTAGTGAAGCTCCAGCATTGTGCGACAGAACCTCGACATTCCTCATCTTGATGAGCTCCTTGCTGACATGGGGCTCGTTGAAGTGAACGTCAAGTCCAGCAGCGGACAGGTGGCCGCTCTTCAACGCAGCAACGAGGGCATCCTCATCAATCAACTTGCCGCGGGCAATGTTGATGACCTTGGCGCCCTTCTTCATCTTTGCGATTCCCTGGGCGTCGAGGAGCGTCTTGCCGGCGAAAGGCGTCGCGACCAAGACGCAGTCAGCGGTGGCGAGCAGGTCGTCGACGTTCTTGTAGTATGTCGCGTCCGTGGACTTCTCGAGCTCGGCAGGCATGCGGACGACGTCGTTGTACAGGATCTTCATGTCGTGGGAGCGGTAAGCCTTCTCTGCGATTCTGCGCCCGATCTTGCCGAAGCCAATGATGCCCAGGCTGAAGCCATTGGGGTTGCGCGAGACGACGGCGAGGTTCTTGTTGGCGTCGACGAACTGGTCGGGGTCGCCTGAGCGCGCGGCGGTGGATGACCACGAGAAGAGGCGGAAGATGGAGATGAGAAGCCAGATGGCGCCGTCGGCGACAGATTCCGTGCAGGCCGCGGCGGCGTTGCAGTAAGTCACTCCTGTTAAATGGTTAGTCCAGTTTGGCGACAACGTAGTTGCAGCAATTGGCACAAAGTATCAATGGCTTCGTTGCAGCGTCCGAGCGACTTACCCCGCTGTGCCAGCGACTCCGTGTCAACCCAGTCGAACCCAGCTCCGGCACTGGCGTAGACCTTGCATGACGAGGGCAGAAGCGAGATCAGCTCCTTGTCCCAGTTGCCCATCTCTCCTCCCGTGTTCCAGAATGGGCGGTAGATGGCGAAGAAGTCGCCGAACTTCTTGTCCTTCAGCGCCTGGATGAACTCGGCGCGCGACATGCTGTAGGAGCGCCGGATCTCGAACTTGGAGCCGAAGTCCTTGTAGAGGTCATGGTTCCACTTGATGTCGTCGCCGAGCTGGAGAACGATAGGCTTGCCCATTTTGCTGACTCTGCTAGGCCGTGAAGTAAGGTATGGACGTGATGCGAGGTCGTAGTTTGCCGGGTGAAGAGGAGGCAGAGGCGGAGGTGTATCGATCGAGCTCACGAAAGTTGGACTGAGCTGTCCGAGTGCTCGGGGTATTGCCCGCCGTGATATTTATATCGGACGATGTCCGCAGTCGGGGTGTCTTGCTCTTCCTTACATCATGTCACCGTCTCGCGACTCCCAATTGGATTTGTTGGGCGCGTGTCGGCGATATTTTCCCTGTTTGGGGAGCTTTGGGGAGCTATCCCGGCAGCACCCCCTGGGCTGGGTGGAACGGCCCTGTGTCGCCCTGTGTCGAGCTACTGGAGCTACTGCATCCCCGCCCCCGCAAATGGCCCGTAGTGGCCCGCAACAGCTCCCACGGGGACGCTAACGCACGACGCCCATTTGCCGGACGTCCAAGGATGGCCAACTGCCCCGAATGCCGCCAAGCCCGAGCATCCCCGCGTATCCCCCCAGAGTTTCCTGGATACACCGCCAATGATGAGTCTCCGAACCCCCGCTGACCTGCTGGTCATCGTGGGTTTTGGTTTTGTTTGTTGAGTTGGTCCGGTTAAAGATGGCATTGACGCTACGCAGCCAACACGAAACATTCCCCGCGGAATACCCACCACCAAAGCGGATATAAAAGCCGATGGCCACCAACCACCTCACTTTAAAAGCCAATTGTTCAGCTAGTCTTGAACTTTCACTGCGGTGCTCTCGATTACCAAGAGAATGAGATCAAGTCAACATGAAAGTTGAACAGCGAAGTCAACACAACCAAAATGTTCCAAGACGATCAACGATAAGCTCAGCGGTAAGCTCAGAATGGGTCGAGGCAGATATTCATTGCAACGAAATGAAACTGTGAAAACAATTAACAAAAACTAAGTGGTTTTCGACCTCAGCGGTAAGAAGAGAAATTCCAACTTCGTCTTTTAAGTTGTGATCCACATCGTATGACTTTGCAAAGAACAGACAAAGCAGCGCGGATGGTCAAGATACCCAATAGAATAAATATCTTCACTTGACAGAGACCTTAGGACAGAGCATAACATCGCGGTTTTTAAAGTGCTGAGATCTTCTCTTTGTGAGCTTCAAATCTCTCCTGAGCCCTCTCCCATGGCCAGGTCCAATTCTGCCCAGAACCCATCACCCCATTCGCCCCACGACGAAGGATCCATCAGTGCCTCCCAACTGGAAGCACTGGCTGAAGTGGCTAAAGCCATGGGTTGTCCATTGTGAATTACATCATCACATCCAAGATACTTGAAAGCGCATCTCTCGAGATATTTGCGAGCTGTGGCTTCTCCGCCGAACACGGAAGAAATCCCTGGTGCCAGCGCCGCAGGGCCCGCAGTATCTTGTGAAAGATTATAAGCTTTGTCGTCGGATATAGACAAGATCTGATGCAGCACTTTGAGGCCGTCGTCGATAGTTGCGATGGAGCGTTTGTCTTCTGTAGTTCCCGGTGCGGGGGGTTGCAAGTCTGAAGCTATCATCTCAATATCATGGCGGATTGAGGCTGCGTTGGCGGGTTGTTCTACCAGAAGAAAAGTAGCAAGAACAATGGCGGCTGAAATAACGTGATACGCCTGGATTCGCAACTTATCTGATCGTCGGAAACGTGCCTCGTCGGGGGAGCGAAGGGCCTTGTACAGCGTCAATGTCAACGACCCCGCCGCGACACAGCGTTGGAACATTTCGCCGGCCTTGAGCTGAAGGAAAGGTCGGTACATCCGTACTCTCTGAACTGCTATGCAACTGTCTAGTAGATGGTGACCCCACAGAACAAAGCCAAAGTTTGGTGGAAGTGCCGGAGCCTTGCTTTCCACACTCCGTGCTGGGTCTTTGAAATACCACGGAAACTGGTCGGTGATAGCCGTAAGCTCAGCATCGATGCTTGACACAAAATCATGAGAACCGAGGTTTGCACCGTTGTCCAACCACAGCTTGTTGAAGACCTTGAAGATTCGACCGCGAAAGTGGTGCATACTCATCTCGGTCGGCTCGTTCAGAGGCTTGACTTGAGCAGAGACAGAGTTGATGTCGACATCATTACAGTTGGAAGGGAATGGGACATTGGAGAGATGCGATTGCAGCAAAGGAGGTCTTCCTAGACAGAGTGATTGAAACCTGCGTCATGTTAGAGAACCTTTTTCCGCACCTCAGCAAGCAACATTGAACGTACGTATCTGCCCCAGCCAGATCCCACCAAACTCTGTGCCGTAATTCCCTCTCAAGGCAATCCGAGATGGATGGTGGACTTTCCCGGTCAAGACCAAGAGCTTGCCCTTGGCGGATAGCTTGTGCTAGGTGCCTATTGGTGAAGATCTTGTTAGTTCTATCGACGCATGAGGTACCCAGACGAAGTTTCGCTGAGACTTACGTATTGAGAGCCTCGATGTCCTTAGTTCCGTACCAGTACAGCTGGGTAACAATGAAAACCTGGAGCTGTATCAAGGTCGGCTTGGACTCATACCCGCCCGATTGCAAAGATTGGCGGGAAGCAGAGTACCATCGATGTGACAGGGCGGCAAGGTCTGAGACCTCAAATCCTGCTGCTTCAGCCATTGGGGCCGGTATATAGAGCGAACTGAGCGAAAACATGATGAACAATAGTGAAAGCCATATCAAGTCGACGTCCTCAACACTTTTTGACCATAGCATGGAGTATTGGGCTCGAAACGATGGGGCATGGATAGCATGATAGATCCAGTTGATGTTCTCAAAGAAGTAGGTGAGCAGTAAATCGGCTTGGGTCTGAGCAGGAAGCAGGCTTAGCAGATACCGTTTCCAGAATAATTGAGGCTCGTCAAACAGGGTTGGTGTTTTGGATGAGAATGGATTTTGTAAGGCCAAAGACGCTACTGAAAGGCTGGCCTCTTTGACAGGAGGAGGCGCGGTATTCGGCGAGTATTGATGTGATGAAGGGGACCCTCTTGCATATTGCATCGGTCTCAGTCGCGTTTCAATGATCGACTGAAGGTCCGAGTCTAAGGTCGTTGGTGACGTTCGAACTTGATCACTTAACACATTCGGCTGGGAGTTCGTGAAATCATAATCATCCTCCGAGGTGTTGGTGATCGCTGCGACACTCAAAGGCGTTGACGGAAGTGTGCTCGCGGGCAGTACCACCTTGGTGATACTTGATTGTGTTATAAGCGCCGACGTAGCTTTCTTCCCAGACATCTGAGGAAGCGAGGGGGCTAGGCCACGCTTGATCACGCTTTCAGGTGCCGGGTGCAGACGGCATTGATCCTGTCGGTTGTATTGACGACATGTGTGACACGGTATGGTCCTATCGCATTCTTTTTCAGTCAGTCTCAGTGAGAAGCTCTTCGTCGCTCGATATCGCGCAAGGTTGCCCCAGGAAAACGTGAAGGGGTTTTCTCTTACTGAGCTTATGTAGTCGACACGGAAGGCAACTCAGAATCCTGCGGTTTCTAGTCTTTTTTGGCTTCGATTTGGGCTCCTGTTCTTGACTTAACCGACACAAGCCGGCTTCCGAAAGGGGCAGTCCCGGTCTTAATGGTTGAGGCATGTTGCTTCAACTATGAGCGTGCGTACGGTGGCTTAATGAGATATGCTCATATGCTATCGTTAGCACAACCAGGGGTATAGAGCATGTAGTAAGTCACTGATATGTTGCACCCGAGAGATCTGCAGCGCTCCTATTGCCGTACCGCCGAGCACCGGGAGCCCGACGCTCAGTGCCGATTGATAATTCACGGCGCCGATGTGGATGCTACTTTCGGCGCTTCTACCGTTGAGCCTACTGCCAATCGTGCGGCCAGAGCAAGTCGAGGGTATCCACACAGGGACAGTGCGTAGTCGAATCGAATGATGCTGTCGAAGATACCAAGCCGGCTGAATGCGTCAACCGGGGGGTTTGCAGGAATTCAACGAGGCCAGGTGTTTGTCAGATCTTGCCGGCCACGGGGATATGTGTGATGAAGATTGTTAGTACCTAAAAATGGCAAAGTAGCTGCCTAAATCAGGATGAAATGACAAGCATACGAGCGAGACGTACGGGCGCACCACGGAGGTTCCGCGGTGCGGAGCGCTAGCTGACGCCACCGAGTCCGTCATTCTTTGAGATCTTCTTTGAGCTCAAAGTGGGACTCTTTGTCGGCGAAGCGCGAATATGATTAAGTTTTTTTCGTGACCAGAAGGCTAGAAGAAAGTATTTGATGTGTGCCGGAATTCGTCTACTGCCAAGATGATGATTGAAGCTTGAAAGTTGGTTTTGATGCTGACTGTAGCCGTGCTAAAAAGTCGCCCTTCTTTAATGACTTTCAAGGACTTTTGTGCATCTAGCTCGCCTAGAGACGTGTAATATAATCAGCATCGCACGCTGGGTCTGCAATTTCTCGCTTTTGAAAGTATTTCCCATGGTTTGCGATTATTCTCCTTGGAGTGTTCTGCAAATTGAGGGTGTCACGTCAACAAACACCAGCCCGAGTGAGTCCAAATAAAACACATGTTTACTTAATTACTGGTGATACCAAAACCTCGAATCGACAAGACAGATTCCTGCACATATCCTAAATGGGTAATTGCGGAGTCTTCGCATCCATCCATTGATTGATACTCTATCTTTGCATCGTGATAGTTCTTGACGAAACGCCTTTTGTGGTCAACCCGGACAAGAAGTGGCCACTCTTCCCTTAGAAATGTCGTCTTACGCGATTTGCCAAATAGTGAAAAAGGAGAAGGGGAACTGCGAAAGAGGCAAGCCGCGAGAATAGAGACGGGAAATGATGCGTGGAAACCGCATTAACATCACAATCTTAGTGGTTCCGCAAGCACTGATACGCTGGATTCTGGTGAAGAGTTCGCGGGATGTGGGGGTTCTCGTTCTTGAAGTTGGAAAACAAGTTGAGTTATGATATCTGACAGCAACAGTCGCCGATTAGGCTCTTGCGTTGGTCTTGAAAGAACGAAAGGGCGGACTGCAGCCAGGGAAAACT